GCTCCTCCTGAGTCTGGAATTTAGACACTGAGTGTTCTGTGGATGATAATGGGATTTCCCCCCATTTTCTTGATACAAGAGGGCCAGGAGCTGTTGTTCCTCCTTGCAGGAAGGTGGGGGAGCAGGCTGAGGTGCAGACACGAATCTGCCTCCAAAAATAAATAAAGCCTCTAAGGGTCCAGCCTCCTGCTAAAGGACTGAGACCTCCCCTGTGCACGGGGCCTGTGTCAGCAGCACCCACACCCAGCACGGCTCAACCCGCCAAACCCTCCTTGCAGGCAGGAAAATACTGTGCAGAGGGATTTGCATGTCAGCAAGTGATTCGAAGAGCAGGCTCAGGTTGGCTGCTGGCTCTGAGCTGCAGGTGCAGGGGGTGCTGCCCCGGACTGAAGGGACGGGCAGCACGGTGCCCTCTGGGTTCAGGGGAAGAGCCTGACACCTCCCAACAAACCCCAGCAAAAACCCCATGCCCTGAAATCATCTGCACCAGGGATCAAGGTGCATTGGGTTACCCAGATATGGGTACAAAAAGATGCAATAACCACAGAAGAGAGACTCCTGCAGCTGTTTCTTCAGGGTGCTGCTCTGCTGCAGGGCCTGGAAGGGGAAATGGGCCCTTGGCCTCCCCCAGCCCTGGGAGTGATGACCAAGAAGGCAGAAGGAGTTTGTGGTGTTGCCTTTTATTGCAGAGGCTTGAGCAGAAAGCAAGAGCCCTGAGCCCATCAGAGCTGGGAGGGAGGTTGAGTTGACTGAGCTGGGTGAGAACCATCGCGCTGGGCACTACTGGGGGCCAGCAGCATCCCTGCCGCAGGAGTGGGGCACTGCCCGCGCCGGGCACTACCGGGGGGCAGCAGCAGCACCCCTGCCGCAGGAGTGGGGCACTGCCCGCGCCGGGCACTACCGGGGGGCAGCAGCAGCACCCCTGCCGCAGGAGTGGGGCACTGCCCGCGCCGGGCACTACCGGGGGGCAGCAGCAGCACCCCTGCCGCAGGAGTGGGGCACCGCCCGGGCCCTGCGGGAGAGCAGGAGGTGGGATGTGCTGAGCCTTGCTGCAGCCAGGACCTGGAGGCTAGACCAGCCCCATGCACAGAGGGAGGGGAGGGCTGGGGTGGCCTCTCCATGCCCAGAGACACCACAAGTGCCTGGGACACTCGTTCCTCTGTATCCCAGGATGGTTTGGGGCTGGGGGAGGCCCATGAGGTCATGATGCCTCAGAATGATGGAAATCAGCAAATATGAGACTGCTTTGGGTTGCAAGGGACCTTAAAGACCATCTAGTTCCAACCCCCCCTGCATGGGCAGGGACACCTCCCACCAGCCCAGGCTGCTCCAAGCCCCATCCAACCTGCCCTTCAACACTGCCAGGGACGGGGCAGCCACAGCTTCCCTGCTCAGGCTGGGCCTGTGTGCCGGGAGGCAACCAGCCGGCAGTGGGGCTTAAAGGCTTCAGGCTAAGGAGGATTTGTGGGGAGTTCTGAGCAGGCTGGATGGGGACCTCCCCCAGAGCTACCCACTGAACCCCAGGTGGAATCAGGGGCTGGAATACAACTTTCCTGGGGTCTAGAGCTTGAAAAAAAAGCTCAGTATAGTTTCCACATCCTTCTCTTTTCCCTTCAAGACAGTAGGAACTGACATGGATAAAGCAACAGGGGACCTACCTGTCCACCCAAGCATGGTCACCTTCCCTCAGCGTCCCCTGGGTGATGTGATCTGTGGAAGGACAAGTCAGAAGGGGTAGGAGAGCCCCCAGAAACACCCAACGGGAGGGTGTACCTGGGGAACAGGGCCTGGGGCCCACCAGGGAGGGGACATGGGCAGTGCAGAATGCTTGGGGGGGCTTCTTAACAGCCAGATAAAAGAGTTTTTAGGTGATTGACCCGGGGACAGAGGGAAAGCAGCTGGCTACGTGTGAGGAAGGGAAGGGAGGGTGAGAGACTCACAGCAGAGGTAGATGGTGAGGAGCGGCAGGGCGGCCACGGCTGCTGTGCTGGCTGCCAGGGTGGTGATGGCCACCAGCTCCCTGCAGCCCTCCTCTGCAGGCCACAGATTGCCACCAGGGGGGAGAGGAGAAGGAAAAAAAACAAGAAAAAAACCCCAGGTGGGTTAGAAGGGATGAACACTAATTTTGCTTCTGCACGGATTTCACTTCCCTGAACCCCCCGATTAGCGGGGCTGGTTTTTGGAGCAGGTCGAAGGGGATTGGAAATCACAGGCAAGTCTGAGGCCCAGTGTGACCAGCCCTGGGGTGGCCCCTCTCACCGTGGCGACGGTGGATGCTGTTGATGAGGAAGCTGCTGGTGAGCACCACGGAAACCACCCCTGCTGGGGCCGCGTAGCCCATCGTGCGCTGCACTGCCCGGGGAGACAGCACGAGGCATCCACTCAGAGAGCTGCTTGCCTTGGAAAGGACCTTTAAAATCATCCAGGTCCAACCCAGCACTGCCAAGGCCACCACTGACCCACGTCCCTCAGCACCACATCTACACAGCTTTGAAACCCCCCCAGGGATGGGGACTCCCCCCCTGCCCTGGGCAGCCTGGGGGGAAAATCCTTGCCAGGGAGAAATTGTTCCCAAGATCCAACCTCAACCTCCCCTGGGCAACTTGAGGCCATTTCCTCTTGTTCTATCCCTTAGTACTTGGGAGAAGAGACTGACCCTTGACACAACCTTTTTCTGGGGTGTTGTGGAGAGTAGGAAGGTCCCCCCTTCAGCTTTGTTTTGGTTGGAAAAGACCTTTAAGATCATAAAGTCCAACCGTGGTGTTAATGTGTGTTATGAGCTGTGGCCAGAGCTCTGCCCTCACCCACAGTCTGGTGGGAAATCCCCCAGCCTGAGGTAGTGCCAAAGTAAAAAGAAACTTTGAATTTAAGCGAGTTAAGGATGAGATCTGGGGCAGTTTCCCCTCCCTCCCTGCCACCCTCAGAAGCCCAGCTCACCCGTCCTGTTTTTCAGTTGGATGAACCTGGTGGGCTGGAAGATGGTGGTGATGGAGACCAGGCAGTTGACCACGATGGCGTAGGTGAGGGCGATCTCGGGCAGGATGATGGCAACAGAAGGGCCTGGAAGAGAAGGGGATGAGGCAGAGTCCCAGTTCTCACCTTTGTCTGCCACCTGCATCATGTTGTACCTCTCCGTCCTGTCCCTTCCCCATCCTCTCCCCACTCCCAGCCTCTCCACCCTGTCCTTGCCAGCAGCCTCCCCACCCCCCCAGCCTTGTAAGGGTCCTGCTGCAAGGAAAGGGCTCTGGGGAAAGGGGAATATGTGAATTCTCTGGATGGGGGTGCAATCCCCGTGGTGCTCCCCCCCATGACAAACTGACATCATTGAATCCTTCGGATTGGGCAAAGACCTTTAAGACCAAGTCCAACCATTAACCCTCACACGTGTGGCCCTGGCAGGGTCCACCCCCACATGCTGAGCTGTGTCACCCCCCTCCCCAGGGCACCCCTGAAACCCTAGGAGACCCCCACACCTCCCATGAGCTTCCCCCCCC